CTTTAAAAAAATTTTGTTTATTTTTTTTCTGATTCTACATGTAAAAATGAACAATTTATGTTGTTAAAAATTTTTTTTTAAATGAACCGTTTTTGAGTTATCAACAATTGAATAAAATGGCTAATTTTTTAAACAAATAATCATATTATTCTTAAAAATTATTGTAAAAAATTTTTTAGAAATGCGTTTTAAAGGTGATAAAACTAGTTTTAAAATGATATAAGTGTGATTCACATGCGATGATTTCCTAAAAAACGGTATCGCTTTAAAAAAAACCAAAAAAAATTTAAAAATTTTATTGTGCAATAACACTTTTTAAACATTAACAATGTAATTTTTTAATATCTGTTTTATATAGTGTCAAAGCTCAGGAAAAGAGCTTTAAAAAGATACCTTTTTGAGCTTTTTAACTTAAATAATAAACAAAATACAATACTTTTTGTAAGGTGTTTAATCGCTGTAGGATGGGCAAAAGTTATTGAGCGGCACTGTATATGAGTCAAACAAAAAGACACAAAAAACCAGAATTTTCTTATAAATTCTAAAAATGAAATTTTTTCCAGTACTTTTAATAATAATCCCTGACTTTTCCCTGATTAATTCTACTTTCCCTGATTTCCCTGGCCTGTGGCAACCCTGCCAATGATCTAGCCTCATCAGTTCTTGTCAGTCAACATAAACTGACTGTCGAGAAAGTCTACTCCGGACACATCAGTTCACAGATTCTCTAATATATTTTCCCCCATCTGGAGATTTCCATTAGTGAAATTACTTTCAGTCGGATTGTCGGGATACGACATTATACGCACAAACCACACCAAAGGGACATCTGGAATTTGTCTCTCTTTTTTTTGCTGGTGCTTGGAAAATTTAGTTTTTGCTTATACTGTTAAATGCTTTCTGCGTTGTGGATGCGAGTTCTATTTGTGTTGGTGTGGTTTTAAATTGAAGACATGCTCGAGAATGAGGGCCGTTGGTGGGATGGAGGGAGGAGGACGACGACGACGACGTGGTGAAATGGATTATCGGGAGCCTTGGCTCGTATCTGTGGTATATCTGCCACGTCTGTATAATACAGCGCGACCATGCAAGCTTGATTACGCATTGCGATCACGAGTGTCCCACGAGCGCGACGGACATAAGGCCTTTTGTCACATGGTGCCTGCGGGCAGGAAGCACGTAGCGTGACACCGTCCGTGTGGTGTGCGAATACCCACATTATACATCCGTATTTTGTAGGTATATATATATATATATACACACACGTCACAATATACATTGGCCAGGCTCTTTTACGTGACTTGTGTTACAGGACTGAAAAATCTGCTCCGAGGTCCCCATCCAGATAGCATACAACTTTTTGCACGGAACTTGTCGCACTATTCTGTGGCAAGGTCTGTAATATTGAGACACGTTTTCAATGTAAGCCCATGCACATTACGAGGAGGAGGAGCGAACCCATCTGACATCATCGATTTTAAGAAAAATTTAAACCATGACGGATCTTAGGGATCGTCCATAAACTATAGTTTATGGACGATCCCAAAGATCCACTATGGTTTTAATTTTGTTACCAAAATATTGGTAACGAATAGATTACAAATTTTTGATACTTTTTGGACCCCTTCCCCCCTCGTTACCATTGCGTTAAATGAATTTTTAAAGATTTTTAGCCCCCCCCACCCTCTCCCTAAATTGGTAACGTAGTTTATAAATGACCCCTTATAAGTAAACCAACGGATTTTTGCCATAATCAAAACTTACAAATATTCAGATTTAAACATAAGTTTTCCCGTTGGCCGCATAGTTTGCGCTTGATTTTCAGATATGGTCAAAATATGAATATTTTGAGGGTTTAAACAAGTTTTTCCGTTGGCCATGATTCACTAGATTTTGACCATAGTCAAGAATTGTAAATTTTGAATGTTTTAAAGTATTTTTGTTTACTTTGGCTAATTTCTTTGGCCACATTTAGCTAGAATTTGCCATGTTTATTGTTTTCACGCGTCTATTATTAAATTTGAGCCCTTCTCAGATTTCGCACTAAAAAAATTAGCTTAAATTTAAAAAAGTAGGTATCGAAAAATTAAACTTCACAAAACTGACAAAAATTACATTCGACGAATTTTATTATTTATGAAAGAATTTAAATATTTATAAAAATAATTTAATTCTTGCGAATTTTTATTATATTTTCAATTATCAATTTTTTAAATAATTGATTTTTTTCGACTAATTTTATGAAAATTCTATACGGAGACAGAATATATATATATATTAAATTTTGTAAAAGTATTTTACAAATTAGGGGAAAAAGTGTGCAACAAAGCGAAATTTTGATATAAAAAATACTAAACTTTAAAAAAACTTATGTGATATTTAATAAAGTTATATTAAAATTTAATTAATGTTTTTGATATTTGATATAACTAGAGTTGTGCAAAAAGCTTGAAGCTCGAAGCTCGATCGAGCTTTTTCAAGCTTTTCATTTTTCGAGCCGAGCCGAGCCGAGCCTAATCAGTTCGAGCTCGAGCCGAGTTCGAGCCGAGCCGAGCTGTGTAAAAAGCTCGCATAGTTTCGAGTACTCGAATTTTTCGAGCACTCGAGGGAATTCGAGTACTCGAATTTTTTCGAGCCCTTGAGTAAATTCGAGTTTTAGAGAAAATTCATACAATTTTCGCATATATTATATTTAGCGAATAGAAATACACTTTGAAATTAAAGATTTCTTTACTTTATTGATTCAGTAATTCGAATAAATTCGAAATTTTCTACTTATTAATAGTTTTTTTAGTAAGTCAAAAGCTCGAATCCATTCGAGTAGGTACTCGAATTTTTCGAGTACTCGAGTGACTTCGAGTACTCGAATTTACCCGAGTACTCGAAAATTTCGAGTACTCGATACATCGAGCCGGCTTGGCTCGGCTCGTCGGCTCGACATTTCGAGCTTTTTGCACATCTCTAGATATAACTTTACTAAATTTCCATAAGTTTTTTTAAAGTTTTGTATTTTTTATATCAAAATTTGTCTTTGTCGAGCTTTTTTCCCTAATTTGTAAAATACTTTTATAAAATTCAAAATAATAATGAAAATATTTGAATTCTTGAGAACGATTTTATTAGAATTTTTTAAAATAATTGAATTTCCAAGAAGAAAATTATTACTTTTAAAAATAATTGAATTCTTATGTGATGAATATTGTTATTTATGAAAATAATTTAATTTTGCAAAGGATTTTTATTAAAATGACTCAAAATAATTGAATTTTCGAGAATAATTTTGTTATTTATCGACATAATTGATTTCTTTCGAAGAATTATTTATGTAAATAATTAAATTCTTGAGAAGAATTTTATTAAAATTTAAAAGAATAATTGAATTATTTCAAAAAAAATTTAATTACAATTGTATTAAAAATAATAGATTTCTTTCCAACAATTTTATTAAAATATTTGAAAATAATTGAATTCCTGTGAAAAATTCGAATATTTGGGTTTTGTAAATAATTGAATTCTTCCAAAGAATTTGAAAAAAAACATTTTTTTAAATAATTCATTTTTTCGAGGAATTAAAATTAAATTTTTAAGAATATAATTGAATTTTTTATTAATTCCTGTAAGATTGTATTAAAAATAATTGAAATCCTGAGATGAATTTTATTATGTATAAAAATAATTGAATAGTTGCTAAGAATTTTATTAAAATTTTTTAAAATAATTTAATTCCTGTGAAAAATTCTAATATTTTTGTAAATGGTTGCGAATTCTTCCAAAGAATTTTAAAGAAACATTTTTTAAAATAATTCATTATTTCGAGGAATTGAAATTAAATTTTTAAGAATAATTTCATTTTTTTGAGCAATTCCAGTAAAATTGTATCAAAAATAATTGAAATCCTGCGATGAATTTTATTATTTATGAAAATAATTGATAAGTTGCTGAGAATTTCATTAAAATTTTCAAAAATAATTGAATTCCTGAGAATAATTTGATTATTTATGAAAATAATTGAATTATTGCGAAGAATTTCATAATTGAATTTATGTGAAAAATTTTGTTATTTTTGAAAGTAATTGAATTCTTTATAAGAATTTTATAAACATTGTTTTAAATAATTAATGTTTTCGAAATATAATAAATATTATGTAAATTTTATTTTAAATATAATTGAATTTCTGTGAAAATTTTATTATTTATGAAAATAATTGAATTTTGGATTAATTTTATCAATTTTTTTTTAAAATAATTTAATTCTTTTGCAAAGTTTGATGAAAATACTATATATTAAAAATAATTGAATTTCGAACATTTTTTAAAAATAATTGAATCGTTTTAAAGAATTTGATTATAATTTTGAGAGTATTTTTTTGATTTCTAGTATTAGCGAATTTAAAGTACTGGAAATTCTCAAAAAAACAGAAATAGTAGCTTTTAGTGGATGAAATTTAAAAAAAGTACCCAAATAGTAGCATAACGTAAAAAAAGTAGTAAATATAGTATAGGTTTTAGTAGATGAGTGCGAAAAGCTCGCTTTGTACATAAAGCAGGACCAGATTTCATATAAGTTTACTTGCTATATATAGTATTACTATCGAAACGATGAAGAAGTTTGTCTTCCTGAATAAGCGCAGGCGTTTTGGAGAAAATTCGATCCATCACTTTCGAAATCCAACTGCTACAGAAAGACTAATTGAATTTTCACCAAAAGTACAGCACAATGGGTTTTTCACTTAATTTCTAGCTTTACATTATCAATTTGAATCATTGTTGTAAGTATCCCAAAAAATGAAGAGGGCCACGATAATGCGCAACATTCAGCAATATTGCAAGGCAATACTAAATCGCAACTATATTTAGTTATTGTTATTCTATCCACAAGCTTGTTGGTACATCACCAAATCCCAACGAGGGGCTTCGATTTTTTCTTCTTCTTTTCTTTTTTCTTTTATTGAATTAGTTGTAGGTTTTCGTCGTTATTCAAAATTATGTTCACTACTCACACATCACGCCTCTTCGTTTTCTGTATTGTATATTAAAACGTGTGACGCGCTAACTCTCCGACAGCTTCCTCTCAATTCAGGTCCTATTCATTTTCGAGAATGACACGTGTGTATATACCATAGTTGTGTGAGAGGGAAGAAATTGGGTTTAGTCTCCTGTATATGACTTGCAATTCTGCGGCAAAAATAAAATTTTAACTATTATTCGTTTCGAAAACGTTTTTTCTTTTAATTTCAGAACATATTTCCTATGTGGTTTTTATATGATGTTATTTATACGTTATATTTTTGAAAAACGTTTCACGAAATAAAGTTCTATTGATGTTAAATTTGTTGAAATATATGGAAAAATATCCTTTGCACCAGAAAATAAAAGTTCGTTTTGTCCTAACGTATTTTTTCACACAAAATTCGAATCTGATGCTAAATTTTCCCACTTTACGTGATCAGATTTCAAAATAGGGAAATCAATATGGTGGATGACTTTTTGAAAATCGATTTGATTTGCATGAAACTTGTTATCTCAAGGTTTTTTGGTGTCACACATGAATCTTCCAAATATGACTTATACATTCGTAATCAGTGACCCAAAAAAAAACCTCTAGTGGCAATTTTTAAGCAGAATCGAATTTCAAAAAGTTCTTTGAATTCTATACTTAAATTTTTAAATTTATACATTTGCAATCTGTCTGCAGAAAACAATTCATCACTTTGCTTTATTCACTTTTAAATCAATGAAATTGCAAGACAAGAAAATTATACTTATTAATATACTCGTCAGTAAAATATTTCACTACCGCATTAAGATTGAGAGTTTAAATAATCAATTTTAATTTGCAATCAAACATTTCAATAGCAGCTGAAAATTGAGTTCATCTTATATGATGTCTGGCGATGAAAGGGACTCTACATAAGATGCCGCACTTCTTTTACAGAAACGGTTTTTAAATCTAATTCCTCTATCCTGATCATATCTTTCACTCGTAAAATGACAGCGCATGTAAAAACATGTAATCTACTTTGCGTCAGTGATTTAATCAAGTTCAGCTATATGCGAGAAGCTTTCTGCTGCTGCTGCAAAATATGTACGGTAAAGACATTATATACTTGACTAATACTTGAATCAAGTTGGAAAAGATTGGATCTCCAGTTTTCGTGTACCTTTTTTCAGACAAGCTCCAGAAATCGATTTGCTTATATCGTATAATAATTAATAAGAAGCGAATACATCGATTTTGATTTGATTAAAATTCATCAAAAATGAATAATTGAAAAGAAGATGATCAACTCAACGGATTCACTTTGAACTATTTTTGAAATTTAGAATAAAAAAAATAAAACAGTTTTCATTAAATCAACTGAAATAAACATAAAAACTTTCAAATTTTTTATTTTTGAACCATGGGCAACAAAGCAAAGCATTAAAAAAACGTTCTTTAAAATTTTTAAATTTATTATCAAAATTTTGAACTGATAGCAAAATATGGCAAATCACGGGAAGGAAAAAAACTTTTTTTTATATTTTCAAACTGTTGGGCAAAATATGACAAACCATGAAAAGAAAAAATTTTTTTTTTCTTTATTCGATATTCAATTATTTTTAATACAATACATTTTTGTAATCGAATTCCTCGAAAAATGTAATTATTTTTGAAAATATTATTAAAATTCGTCGAAAAAATTCAATTATTTAAAATTTTGATCATAAAATTCTTTATGAGAATTTAATTTTGAGAAATATTCAGTTATTCAATAAATTATTTATTTTTATATTCAAATAATTGAATTCTCGCAGAATTTTCTAATAGAAATTGATTCAAAAATTATATTCTTCGCAGTAATGAAATTATTTTTCTAAATTTTAAAATTCTTTTCAGGGATTTGTTTATTTTTATAAATACCTAATAAAAGGTATTCGGAGGAAGGAAATTATTCTCATAAATAAAAAAATATTCATCACATGAATTCAATTATTTTCAAAAGTATTAAAATTCTATTATTTTCAAACATTTTAATGAAATTCAATGCAAATTTTCAATTATTTTCAAAAATTTTTCTTAATGCAATAATTTCAATATGCTATACTATTTTAATAAAATTTCCCAAAAGAATTCAATTACACACTAAAAAAAAGTTTTACTTTCAGCCTATTTTTGAGGCTGAATTTAAGATGTAAACGGAGTCAGCCCCGTTAAACAAGGACAGACTTATGTGAAATACATAGGCTGAATTTAAGGTGTAAACGGAGTCAGACTTTTTTTTCCTGTGTATTTAAAAACAGTTTTGACATAAAGTTCTAATCGTATATGCAGTTATTTTCTAGAATAATAAAAACTTCACGAGAATTCAATTATTAAAAATTGAATTTGCATAAATTTTTTCGAAAAAAATCAATTGTTTGACACTTTTTTTTATAAAATTCTTCGCAATAATTCAATTATTTTCATAAATAATAAAAGTCATTGCGGAATTTAAATTATTTTTAATACAATTTTAATCGAATTCCTCGAAAAATGTATAATTATTCTTAAAAATTTTTTTGTTCGATGTTAATTTTTTATCTTTTTGTTATTTTATATAAAAAGTTTTTTTAATTTAGTTTCATTTTTTTATTTGGTAAAATAATCAAATAAAAAAATGAAACTAAATTAAAAAACATTTTTATATTTTTAAAAATGTTATTAAAATTCGTCGAAAGAATTCAATTATTTAAAAAATTGTTATTAAAATTATGTAGAAGAATTCAATTTTAAGAAACATTCAATAAATTATCTATGTTTGTATTCCAATAATTGAATCCTCAAAGAGTTTTCTAATAAAAATTAATTTAAAAATTAATTTCAGTTAAAGTTATAGATAATAATTGAATTTTCATAAATTACGAATAGTTGAATCTTCAGAAATTACGAATAATTGTAATTTTTAGAAATAATTGAATTTTGTAAAGGTTTCAAATTAAAATCTTTAAAAATCTGAATTTTTCATACTTTTATTAAAAAATTCTAGTTGGAACTAATTTTTCTCAAAAAGATAAATCGAAATTTTTTAAAATTATTTCAAAGAGGTTTGAATTTGAAATTTTTGAAAATCTTAGTTGGAAAAATAATGATTAAATTGTTGGTGTGTTTGAATAATTTTACAATTAAAAAAATTCGTAAATAAATATAATAGAATACATTTTTTTGAGTATCTAATAATTTTTAGAGTGAATCAAAATATTCTTTAGGGTCAGGAAAAAAGTCAAAATTTTGTCTAAAAATTAGAGAAAAGTCAAATGTTGACAATAATGATAAAAATTAAGGGCAAATAGTTCAAAGAACGATATAAATGTTTCGAAAAAAATATAAATAAATTTTTTCCAGTGTGGAAAATTGAAGAATCAAAAACAGAATCTGGAGCATCCTGGAAGCTGAAGAGACGTAGATTTCCGTTATATATATATAGGATTGAACTAGAGTACACATACGTATACATCAAGTTCAATATATAGAAGATCGGTTTTTACTTTCCAACCTCTTTTTATCGCCTACTCGCGATTTTATTGCTACCGCCCATCGGATATCGCGCGGCATACGGGCAAGCAGATAAGATCGGATATGTGTATACGGAGACAACTATATATATACAACCCCTGGAGCGCTACATATACCGTTTGAGAGGCAGCTACATTTTTACCCGCCCATGTGTGAATAGTGTGAATTGTGTGACTTTCCCCGACGACGTTCGTTAGTGAGTAGAGCTGAACCGCTGGTTTTTGTATTTGTATATACATATGCACTGTCAAAGACTCGAGAGAGTGTCGAGCGACGATAAGTCGAATTCCCAAACGGGCGGGTGTGGCGACCGGCCCGCGCCGGCCACACCGGAACAAGTACCGCTATCTCCTGCTCTGACTGATGTTGAAGCTTCTATCGAATTATTTTTCATTTTCCATAACCAGCAAAAAAAAAAGCTCCCTATTTCTTTTTTCTGCTAATCTTTTCCCCATTTCGAAAAATTCTACTCTTATTTCTTCTCTTTCTAATAAATAGTCGTATTTTCTACTAATTTATTAGTAAAATTTATTTACTAATTCAAAAGCAAAAAGTAAGTCGAATATTAATCACATTCGTACGGTTCGAATGAAGTTCAAAATTTAAAAACTGTTTGAATTTTTTTCGAAACACCATTTCTAGTGAAGAAAAATGATACGTTTTCGATAGAAAGTACATTTTATATTCATAATACTTCATGCATAATTTGTGTGACAAAAAGTTGCCCTATTTTTAAGTACATATAAATGTCACAGCTGCGTGTTCTTTTATAAATGAGTTCGACACATTTAAAGTTCATCGTGATTGATCGACTAAATAGTTTAACATAGGGGTAATTTTGTGAATGAAAAAAAGAATCATAGAAATATGTGCCGTATGAAAAGTTTTTGCACGTAAACAATAACAAAATACAAGAAATGCCTTGGATTATAATTAAAATTTTTTAAAAATAATTTTCAAGATAGCAAACATATTTTAATTGAAGTAGTAATAGACTAACATTTTCAAAACGAGTCTTTTAAGAAACATTTATATGTTTAATTCATAAAAACAAAGTCTGAAACCATTTACATTTTATAAAACAAAAATGCCTTAAAAGTATAGCCTAATTTTTAGGCTTAAAACTATATATACAAAGAAAAAACAAAGTCTGACACCGTTTACATCTTAAAACCAAAATGTTTGAAAAGTACCCTATTTTTAAGCTTAAAACTGTATTAAGTCTTTGTTAGGACTTAAAATAATACTCTCAAGGCTAAAATTCAGTCAAAAATGTTCCTAAAATGTATAAACGGTTTTAGTCAAAAGTAGACTGAAAGTAAGATTTATTTTTCATAGTGTTGTTTATATTTATAAATTTACAGAGTTCATATTCAATTTTTAATTTATTTATTTAACATTTATTTCAAGGCATGTGAGTTATAAATTCCTTTCAATGTAAACACGGGAACGGAAATAAGAAAATGTTATTAAAAAAATAATTCTATTTGAAATTCGTTTTGTCGTATCTATTAATATTAAAATTTACAAAAACAAATTTTTTCGCGCACCTTCGATTGGAAATAAATTGTTAAATGTTCCTGCTTCTTTGCAACAAAGCAATAAAACACTGTTAATTTTGTGATTCTAAGTAATAAAACTATGACAAGCCGTGATCGCGATTTCGACCGTGAAGTTCTACTTGAACAAGAGACCGCCCTCGTTAACGGCTCAATAAGCGCGCGAGTCGACTAAAAAAGCGGAGGAGCGACAATCGTCAAGTTTACCAAAGAGACACTATATAGCGTTTTTAATATTTCAAGCTATGCTTTGACATAATGCTCAGATTTCTAATAAAAAAAACCCCCTTTAAAAGACCTTATTATTGAGGAAAGGTATAAACTGTAAATTTTAGACGAGACGAAGAAAGATGTTTTTTATTCTCTTCTTTGACTATATATGTAAATTTTTATAATTTTAAATATTAATTCTTAAAAATAATAATTATTATCTCACAATAAATTTTATTCCATTTAAGGTTGCGTAAACTACTTTACTAATTTTTCATATTTTTTAGACCCCCTTCCCCCTAAATTGGTAACGTAGTTTACAGCGGTTCCACATGGAGGCAAAATCGCAGCGACGTTGCGATTGTCGTGCTCCCACCATCCCATCTACACAATGCTTTCCCCTCATGACGTCACAGGCGGGGAGTGCATTGAGTAGATGGGATGGTGGGAGCACGACAATCGCAACGTCGCTGCGATTTTGCCTCCATGTGGAACCGCTGTTACGGAGGACCACTAGTAACTATTCTGCAATTCTTAAACGTTTAATAATTTTTAGACCCCTCCCCCTTCGTAACTATATGCGTTACTATTGCATTTTTATAGAATTTTGACCCCTTCCCCCCTAAATTGGTAACGTAGGTTATGGAGGATCTCTAACACTATTGTGCAATTGTTGGACTTTTGATAATTTTTAGATCCCATTTCCCCTCATTACAATTGCGTTAAGTATATTTTTATAGATTTTTTACCCCCTTCCCCCTAAATTAGTAACGTAGTTTTTGGAGGACCTCTATATACTATTCTGCAATTGTTCGACTTTTGATAGTTTTTAGACCCCCTTTCCCCTAAATTAGTAACGTTGTTTATAGAGGACATCTAATACTATTCTGCAATTGTTAGATTTTTCGTAATTTCAGACCCCTTTTCCCTTCGTTACCATTGCGTTAAATGCATTTTTATTTAATTATGGACCGCTTTGTTGTGGCCTTCGGTCAAGAAATTACAAGCTTTATGATGTTATTATGTTAGAAATTTAATTTTGTCTCAAAAATTTTGATTTTAATCTTTGATTGTTGCTTTTTTTAAGAGTAAATAGTGTTTTTGGTTGTGTTTTATGATTTTCTCTGTTGTAGGTATATCATACAATTTTTTTGTGAATTTTATTCAGTTTTAGAATTTGATGAATTGTATTGGACTTTAATGATTGTTCTAATGGGTCTTTTGGGGCAAAATAAAGAAGAAATTCCGAAAAGCGTGTAGGCATGATAAAGTTTTTTAATTTAAAAGGTACACACTAATTATTATCGCTATTTTAAATTTAGAGATTAGATATTTTTGAACTGTAAAACTGACCTGTAGATTTGGGTAACTTTTCTTGGTTCATAAATCACCGCACATGAAATAAAATTTAGAATCACAAGAAAGAAACTTTTGCACAATTGGTCTGTTGTTTTTTTTTTTCGTCACACTTGACACTCGACCTACACGCAACGAGAGTTTCGTTAGTAGTGACAGGCAAAGTCGCGCCGGGCAGAGAGGTGCGGGGAGGCACTCTCCTATCGTAGCACTCAGTTGACTCAGTGGCCGAGCGGTATTTCACCCGCGAAAAGCGTCGTCCCGCGATCAGGTGACAGTGGGAGAGCAATACAGCACACCACGAGTTACGGGCGAGACGAGATTTGTGGGAAGGGAAAAGAGAGAGAGAGAGAGAGAAAACGAGACTTGCGGATTGCAACGGCTTGGAAAGGAGTGAGTGAGTTGGGGTGCAATGAGAACAAGTGAAACAGCCAAGAGAGGAAGAGGTACCGATGCGGCGCCGAGAGTGTTCAACAGCGAGAGTTGAGTGTGAGTCTGTGGAAGAGAGAGAAAGAGAGAGAGGGAGTGTGAGGAACAAGGACCTCGATGTTGGAGAGAGAGGGGGGTTAAAGGGGAAACGAACGCGGTGCGCGGGAGTCACTCTCTGTATGGAAGCTCCCTGATCGCTTCTGAGTGCAAACGGTTCGGCGTGCGGTGGGACACTGGCGGCTTGGTTGAAACTGCTGCGGATAGCGGGTGGCGAGCGATACTCTACGGGACGGGACAGGCCGATCCAAACCGGGACCCCATCCGAGCGCGTATATATTCCACTCTTGTGTTTGTGTGCGCGCGCGTCGGTAGCCCCCTAACACACACACAAATACCTTCACGAGTCTTGCTATAAGGCACGTTGCCACTCCAACTCACTTGTCCGCCCGCATATTCCAAGCTTTCGTCTCTCTTCAACTCCCCCCCACTATTTTCACCCCCCTCACCCCGCCCCTCTACCCTTCGCTACCGTCGCGTCAGCGATGCCGATGCTCTCTTCCGCAAGCGCACAAAGCTTTCTCTCTCTTTTGCTCTTTCGATAGAGTGAGAGAAGATCTTTCCTTGTCTCTCTCTCTCTTCAAACCACGAGTTCTAGACATCCGACTCCCTCAATATTCACCGACCTTTCGCATCTCACTCTATATACCGCTCTCAGAGTGTAGTGTGTTCACTCGGGGCGTTCTCTTTTTATCGTGGTTCTCGTCACTCACACGCGCCCACAGTCGAGAGCGGTAGCATATCGTAGGTCCGCTTGCCTACCGGAGCATTTTAAAACCTCCCGAGAGGAGTGAGCCCGAAGGAGAGACCGACGAACAAGATAAAGAACGACAACGATAGTGTGAGCGAGAGAGGAATGTAACGGGTGTACCGATCACAGTCTTTTTTTTCTTACTCTTCCATATATTAAAACACATCATTAAAATTTAATAATTTTTCTTATTGTCTAAAAAATACTTCTTCAATAGAATATTGTTATACATCCCTTCAAAATTCCTGAACTATTCAATTCGAACATTGTAAATAGGGAATATTAATCCTAGAAGGAAAAACTGGAGTGGTTGGGTACCCCACGCGAAGATCAAGGTACCCTAACCAGACTGAGGTAAAGGTTGGGTCTGGGACTTATAAGTCATCAGGAGCGGATCCAGCTTTCAGAATAGGGGGTGGGTCAGCTCGTGTATATTTTGTCTGACAAGAGTCCAATTGCCTGCAAGTGCTAAAAAAAATTAAATAAACTTCGAAGGGGGTGGTCATGACCTCGATCCCATTCCCCTGGATCTGCTGCTGTACTTCATTCTCTGTAACATCTTGCGTCAAAAACTCGACTAAAGTATCGTTTTTGACGCACTAGTGCGAGAAAAGAGGGGACATCGAACTTTCTCGCACAGTGTACCCCAACTTCCATAAGCTGCTAAAGAACTAGTACCAACCTGACATAAATATTTGATAACTATAGCAAATATGAAGAGATACCACTGCACATGCTGCAATGTTGTTGACAGCAGATGATGCCTAACCTTAATATTCCTCAAGATTACTAAAAACGTGAAACGGAAATTATGAAGAGTGATTAATTTCATAAAGTAATTTAAGAAGATTTAAGGAATGGTGAATGTTAACCGAGAACTTCGCCCCCCGAAGCGCTGTTCTCCTTGTAGGCCACACTAAAGTTTTTTCAACATTACTACTGAGACAAATTGTTTACTTTTTATTGTCATTAAAAATTAATATTTTGAGTTGGTTTTTTTTATTGTCGGGGGGCTTCTTCCCCGAACCCCCCCCCAATCGGGACGCTGCAATTCAAAACAAAAACCCAGTGTGTAAAAGACGCAAAACCTTTCTTGCTCCTTCTTGTGGTGTAGCAAACTCAAAGTAAATGAATTATTACAATTTTTAGTAAACATTATCCTAACAAATTCTATAAGTAAGTTTGGGTACAGACAGTCTGGTCCAAAGCCCCGAAGTGAACAGTTGAACCCCAAAATTCCATAAGAACCACAAGCAAACATTCACACAGTAAATTTACTAAAATATTGTTTGATCCCGAGATGAAATGTTCAACTTACATTGGACCATAAGAACCTAGTTTAAAACTGATTCAAACCTTTTAACGATTGTTTGATCTTTATGGCATTACTTTAACGTTTAATCAACCTTCAATTGTTATATATTTCCAACCCTAAAAGAAACCTTATGAACCTCAAAAGAACTTTTTAATTTTATGATTCTCAAACAGTCAACCTTACTAACCTTCCTTTAACCCTAACATACATTACTTTCTTTCTCACCAACTTCGTTTGAAACTAAAACATTGATTTTGTAATTCGAGTTACAATATAAATGTAAGTAATTCGAAGAAATCTCCTTTGTCCTAAAAATTTCCTTCTTCGTTCCCGGAAACAAACCATAAATATGTAGACAATCATAAAAATGGGACCAAAAATTGCTAGCAATCCAAAAGTAAGTCTTTAAAGATGTTTAGCTTAGTGGATATGAAGAGGTATATATGAATAAATATACACAAAATATGGTTTTGGGATTTTCAAATTTCCCACCCAAAAATTTACTATAGTGAAAACACAACTATCACATAGCCTAAAACTCATATTGCAGTTAGTTTTTCGTCAACTACAACAAAATTTCCACTCATTTTTTGAAAGTGTCGAATAAAATTTGATTTAAACAAAATTTATGTAATAAAAATATAAAAAAACAATTTTGTGCTTTTGCGGTGGGTGACAAGTAAGATGAAAACTATCAAGGAGTATCACGGAAAAAAATGGTTAGCCTATTATAACCAGACTGAGTTTGGTTGACTGAATGGAGGTTGTTTGAAACAAGTGAATAGTTGTGTTAACCCAAGAGATTTAGTTTTTAGGACGGAACTTGAATGGTTATATTAGTGTGACTATTGGAACCAAATGTTCGTTTATGACCACCAAACTGTTACTAGCAAAGCAGTTTCTTCTATCCCCACTACTTAAGAAGTGGAACTTAGAAAATTTTTCCACAATTTATTCTTTAAGCAATTTGAACTTAGAAAATTTTTCCACAATTTATTCTTTAAGCAATTTGAACTTAGAAAATTTTTTCACAATTTATTCTTTAAGCAATTTGTACTTAGAAAATTTTCCACAATTTATTCTTTAAGCAATTTGAACTTAGAAAATTTTTCAACAATTTATTTTTAAGCAATTTGAACTTAGAACTATTTTATAAATTCAAGAATAGAATACCTATATTTAAACCAATAAAATTGTTATTACTATTATTTTTATTTTTAAGGATAAAATGAATTAAAATGTACTCTCAATATATAAAAAATGGTAAATATTTCACTAACTTTAACAAGCGTATATACGTATGTGTATAGCCTGAAAGGTTTTGAAGCTTTGGTAACAAAGAATTTTGAATTAAAAACTGATAAAACAGTATTACATTTTATGAATATATACCTACATATGTATGTATATTTATAATATATAATTTAAAAAAATAAATATATCTATTTATTTTTATATACAGTAATAAACAAAAAAATTTAATTTATATTTTTTTATAACTATAATCTTTTTCCCTCATTGTGTGTCACGTTTTGGATAGTAACAATGGTTAAACTTTTATGATACTTTTTGGGCTGGTTAACATGGGACCGTTGACATCTGGAAGCAATTTCAGCGCTGTATTTAACGCGCTTGGGACCGGTTGACCGAGCGTAGTTCAAATTTCAGAATTTTTTTTTGCAAGGGTTTTTAGATCTTTGAATTTTTTTAAATATGGAAAAATGAAAATGCAATGTTGTCAAATGCTTTCCTTTTTCAACGTTGTCAAGTCTTTTTCTGATTTTCGGCTATAGGACAAAAGCATTTTCAGTCTTCAGGATTTACTCTTACAGTAATCTTGTTCTTAAAAGTGGAAAGTGTTGTGAGTTTGTGAATTTGTGAAGTGCAATTTCTGGATTAATTTGATATTGCATTTTTTATATTGGAAATAAAAGAATATAAATAATATAATATTTAATATTCTTATATACTATTAAATAAATTTATTATATTCAACTGTAATAATGAGTTACAAACTTTTGCTTTGTGAATGGGGTTTGGAAAAATACATTGAAAAATTTGAAGGTAAGAGATTTTTTCAACAAATTTATAAACAAAAAGTTAAATTTCACATTTTCTTCTTTATCAGAAAGAAGCTTTAATAAGTAAAAAGCTTTTTTCAATAAAATACAATTAGTATACTGGGATATTAGTATAATGTTTAATGCAAGTAGTGTACAAAGGTTTGTCCCAATAAAAAGAAAGTCTTATTGTAAATTAGAATTAGAGTCGAGCGCGCGGACGAACGCTTTAATGTCAGTCTGGGAGCAGTGAGCGCCTCTGCGCCTACCACTGCTACCTGACTGGTATTAGCGCGTGCGTTCGCGCGCTTAGCGAGTTCTTCTTTTGGGCTTCTCAATTAATTAAAATAAATAAATCACTATTTTATAATTATTATAAAAATATTGTTAGAATTACTTCTTCAAAATTATTTTTATCATTTCAATTCAATTAATACTTTTTATTATTTTTAACTAAAATTCTTCTTTAATTAAATTAATTTTAAAAAAGTTCTTTAAGAATTGTCACATCCATGTGTTTATAATTCAATTTTATGGAATTTCGATTATTTGGAAATTTTTTAATTAATTTAATTACGGACCAAAAATGAAAAATTACGGACCATTTACGGATCAATTACCGACAAGAATATAACCAGTCCGAGTCAAATAAAAGAACATTTTAACTTAAAATTACAAATTAAATTTTAATAACTATAAAACATGAAGATATCAATAACTATAAGTCGAAGACTCGGAGTAATCGTTTCTTCATGTTCTATAATAATTAAAGATGACTGAGATTATAAAATCAATACCAATTCAATTATTATTTTTAAGAATAAAAGAATTAAAGTTTTTCACAAGAATTAATTTTAAATTCAATTATTTCTAAAAATTCATGCTTTTAATATTTAATTATTATCTAAAATCTTTAACTAAAATTCAATTTTAATTTAATTTTTATTAGAAAGTTTTACTAGAATTCAATTACTTAAAAACAAAAATAAATAATTTATTGAATAATTGAATGTTTCTTAAAATTCAATTCCCTTAAAGAATTTCATCAACAATTTTTTAAATAATTGAATTCTTTCGACGAATTTTAAGAAAATTTTTATGAATAATTCCATTTTTGAGAAATTCGATTTAAATTGTATTAAAAATAATATAATTTCCGCGATGAGTTTTATTATTTATAAAAATAATTGAATCTCTGTAAAATATATTATTATTTATGAATATAATTGAAGAGTTGGATGCTATAATGTGTTACGCGCCATGGTAAGTGAATGGCGCGTAACACATTATAGCATCCAACCCCTCAACTGAATTATTGTGAATAATTTTATTAAAACTTTATAAATAATATAATCCCTGTATATAATAAAAAAATTTATAAAATTTATAAAAATTTGTAAATAATTGAAATTCTGTGAAATTTAATTAAAAATTAATTAATTAATTAATTTTTTTTTAATTTAATTTAATTTTTAATTAATTTTTTTAATTTAATTTTTATTTTTAATTATGTGAAATTTTTTTTTCTTTATGAAAATAATTAAATGTTTACGTAGCATTTTATCAAAAAAAATTTTAAATAATTAAATTCTTTTGAAAAATTTTACTAAAATAGATAGTAAAAATCATTCGTGAAGAAAATTATTACTCTTAATTACTCTTAACAAATAATTGAATTTCTGCAATAATTTGTAAAATTTCCCAAATTAATTTTTTTTTATGTTTTTAACTAAAATTCTTCCTTAAATGCATTATTTTTATAATTTTTGAAAAAGTTCTTTGAAAATTTTCAAATTCATTTGTTTACAATTTAATTTTACACAATTTTAACTATTCGTAAATTCTTCAATTAAGTATATATTACAAAATAAAAACTTTAAATAATTTCAAAAAAAATCCGCAATTAAAATTTACCAAAAAATATTAATTAACAGAATTGTTAGTTAAAAACATGTAACATTCAGATTTTTAAAGATTTTAATTTGAAACCTTTTCAAAATTCAATTATTTTAACTGATTTTAGAAGAATTTAAATTATTTAAATTTTTCAAAAATCTAAGTTCATTAAAATTTCTAATTAAATTCATGTAAAATATATTACTGTGCTATTACAATATTACAATTTTTAATAAGCGTTTTTTAATTAGATGAAGAAATCGATGATGAATCTTTCCCATTTTTGGAAAAGGAAAAAATTTCTGACTTATTTCCTAAAGTGGGACCTTACTCTAAATTTATAAGGTTATACAATAATTGGATTCACGATAAAGAAAATAATGAACCGGCTTCAACACCTGTATGTACACTACTTAATTTAATAAAAAAAATTATTGTAAACTATTTAAAGATGAAGATAAATAAATCATTACTGTTTTCTAAATTTATTTTTCAAATGATTAAAGGTCAATAATGCATTACAATTAAAAAGTGATATTGAAGGAACCTATGAGATTGGTCCTGATGGACAATTAGAAGAAGTATACAACCCTCAAGATTCAAATTCGGAAAGAAACGAATTGGAAGATTTTACATTAGAAGAGGAAGTGCAAAATACTTTGAAAGCGGAAAAACGTTCTGCAAATGTAACAACGGTTGTTCCTGAAAAAAGAAGAAAAGTTAGTTCCGATTCTACTCATCATTCTATTATTAAAGAGGTAATAATTTTTTTGTTCAGATTAATGTTGTTATTGTCCTATCGTTGTTTATGTTATTGTTTTATGAACATGTAGTAAACATTTTTTATTTTGTTGTAGGGTCCAATCTACGAATGTCTTATTAATAACATTCGTGGGAATTTGGCAATTGCGGAGTATGAATCGAAAGGATTCTTAAGGTCAAGAACACAGCAAATTGTTGCAGAGTGTGTTCTTTCACAGGAATTCAAATGAGATATTTGGAAACAGTATGTAAAAAATTATTTAAAAAGTAACAAATATTACGTCCATATAACTCTATTTCTTTTTTACAGGATACATCGAGAACAATTTTTGAAACTTTCTGAGGGCATCGAATTGCTTTTTCCTTCTGAAAATAAGGTATATATATTATAGTATTCTTTATTACATCCATATTTAATGACATAAAAATCTCGTCTTATCAACATTTTTTGATTTCAGGAAACATACTATATACCGTATTATAAAAATGAAGCTGGGAAAAAGTATAGTGCTTCTGGAAAACTAGTGGACTTGTTCTATAATATAAGAAAAAGAGCTGTTCGTTCTGGGATTCAATCTTCCAGAAAAAACTCAAGTCAAAAATCTACTGATAATGATGCTCTGACTAATGCCGTTACTCCAGATGCAGATACTTTAAATAAAATTAATTCTCTTTCAATAACATGCATACCATGGCAAGATTGCATTGAAAAGTGGCGAGACACTCACGATTATCGAATGACGGAAATTCGTTCAACTGCAACTGTAACTTCAAAAACGAAAGGAGGAAAAGAGAAGACTACAATTTCTAATAAAGTTACATTCTATATTACAAAGTATAGAGGAATAAAGGAGGCTTTAGGTTACACTTTGGTGAGTGGCAATTGATTTTCAAATTTTCAAAGATATTTAGAATAAGCTTATCGCTTTTACTGATAATTAAAGGATTGTTTTCTCTTTTTCTATTTCATGTAAATAATTTGTAATTCTTTTGACAGCTTGAATTGGATTACTCTATGTTGTACCCAGGAACTGAAGAAAACTTATTGTTTTTATGGCCATCTTTTAAAAGCAAACTTCTCTCGGTATTTCAACGTGATAACAGCAATTTGTTTAAATCAAACAGTAATGGTTAGTTAAATTTTAAACTAACTTTTACATTAATAAAGATGCAATTTTAACTAATTTGTTATTTTTATAATTTGTAGATGAAATAAGCGATGCTCAATTACTAATGAAATTGTGTATGCTAGTTAAACCAAAATTAATTAATGATGGTGATGAAAGCTGGAAACCCACAAGAGAAGTCATTCAAGAAGGATTTTTGATACATGTGATTGTAAGTAATTAAATTATTTAAGTATCAATAGTGTTTAAATTACATTTTATAATACATATTTCTTTTTTATAGAGTGCTAGTGACATAAAATCGGCCATTAAGAGAGTAAGAGACAGAGCAACAGCAAGAAAAGAGACAACTCAGCCTTTTGCCGTGATTGTAGGAGAAGATTTACACAATATAACTGACTGTTATATCTCAGTAGACAACATCTTATATAACGTAGATTCCCCTGTAAAAGCCATCGACGTTACATTTAAGATTTTTCAAGCGATTCATGCTCAATATCCCAAGCATGCCGAACCTCTTTGGTTACTTCTTCAAATATGTGTATACGGTATAAAAACAAAGTGGGATAATAGTAAGCATATGCATAGTTTAACTTCCTTGATTAAAGATTTAAAGTGTGTTGATTAAACTAAAAATAAAATGCCTAATTGTTTTCAATGTAACGTTGGATCTTTCTTTCCATCCATTCAAGCTTTATGGATACATTATAAAATAACCCATAACATGTCCACTGCATCATCATTTATGTGTGCTGAACCTGATTGTTTATTTAAAAAAACCTTTTCTTCATGGTCTAGAATCCGAAAACACTACAAGTGTTATCACAAATTTTGTAATAATTTTGTCAATAATCTTCAAATAGAAAATAATGAACCTATTGGAATAGAACTCCCTGTTAATGATATTCAAAATGTCAATCATGAGCAACCAGAACCCATTGACAATGAAATTGATATAGTTAATGATCCAGTTGAGAATGAAAATCAACAGTTATTTCCTCAATTTTTGACACATGAAGCTTCTAAGTTGTTAGCGAAATTTTATAGTCGACCATCTTTTCCTCGAAGTCTGGTACAATTAATGGTTGATAATGTTGGTGATTTTATGAGTAGTTCTCTTCAACAATTTCGAAAGAAATGCGAAATAGTGTTAAACAATTCAACTCTTCAAGAAAACGAAAAAAATGAAATACATAAATTAATAGATGAATTTGATAATTCATTCTCTTCTCTTTCTTCAGAGTACTTAAGACTAAAATATTTTGAGAAATCCGGTCATCTTATTTCTGCAGTTGATTATAAAGTAGGAGAAAGAATTGAATATAAATTTAAAAATGGTAGAATTGTTCGAGAATCAGTAGATTGCATTGCAAAACATATTCCTATGCGATTAATCTTGAAAAAATTTCTAGAACTTCCGGGAAATTTTGAAATAATTTCAAACTATATGAACGAATTAAAACGCTCAGAAACAGAGATATGCAATTTTATTCAGGGAAATTTATGGAAAGAAAAATCGGCTATTTATGAATTAGAAAATAAAATAGTTCTGCCTATATTTTTAGGCATAGATGATTTTGAAATTAATAATCCCTTAGGATCGCACACAGGAGTTAGTGAAGTTGGATCAGTATATCTTTCAATGCCATTCTTACCCCCAGAATTTTATTCTCGATTGGAAAACATTTTTTTAATTGGTTTATATTATTCACGAGACAGACAATTACCAAATGGGAATTACCATATCTTTAAAATTATTGTAGAAGAGTTGAATTTTCTTGCACGAGAAGGGATATTAATTAATACTGCATCCGGTATTCAACGAGTATATTTTCTTCTTGGTTTAATTTTGGGAGATAATAAAGGGTTAAATGAAGTATTAGGGTTTTCTGGAAGCTTTAGTGCCAATTATTTTTGTCGCTTTTGTACAAGACATAAAAGTAATTGTGCAAAAGATATTTCTGAGCAATGTAATTTTTTAAGAAATCCAGTAGATTATGAAAGAGATATTAATAATGGTTTTGACGTTTCTGGTGTTAAAGAAAAATCCATTTGGCTTGATGTAGATCACTTTCATCCTTATAAGAATTTTGCTGTTTGTACCCTACACGATTTTGATGAAGGAATCAGTTCTTATGCAATGCCGCTTATATGTCAGTATTTTATTTTAAAGCAAAAAATTTTCGATCTTGATTTTTTAAATGAGCGAATATTAGGATTTAACTATCAAGTAAACGGATTCTCAAATAAACCCTGCATTATAACAGTAGACAATTTAAAAAATCTTCAATTTCGTATGTCTGGCAACGAAATGAGAACATTCGTTTTATGTTTTCATTTTTTAGTTGGTGATTATGTACCTTTCGACAATGATGTTTGGAAATATTATCTTGTATTGCGTCGATTAATTGAATTTATATCTTGCAGAATTTTTCCAAGAAATCGTGTGCTACAATTTCAAGAATTGATAAAAGAACATAATTACCTTTATCAAAAGCAATTTGGTTCACTAAAACCAAAAATGCATATTTTAAATCATTACTTTAAAATTTTAATTGAATCTGGACCATTCTCTTTTCTTAGTACTATACGTAATGAAGGGAAGCACAAAGAAGTTAAAGACAGTGCATCGGCTACAAGATCAAGAAAAAATGTAACACATACACTTGCTCTTAAACAACAATTACAATTATGTTACCGATTTCTATCTGAAGAAGGTTTAAAAACCGATCTTATGTCTGGGCGCTGTCAAATTCTTTACAATATAATGTTATTAGAAGGTTATCAATATTTTTCAAATACTTTACCTGGCTCTTTCATAAATAATGCGTGCGTTAGTGTAAAGTGGGTTACATTTAATGGTATAACGTATAGAGAAGAAATGTGTATAATTTTAGATTTATGCGATAATGGTATCCTACCAACATTTGGAATTATTAAGAAAATTTTATTTAATTCCAATGCAAATGAAGTATGTTTCATTTGTTTAAAATTATCAAATCTTGGTTTTGACTCAAATATGGGAGCTTATGAAATAGAATACGATTTGCAGTGGCAGTGTTGTTTAATTAATAACTTGTTAAGTCCATTTCCCGCAATAAAAGTAGTATTAAGCAATGGTAAAAAATATGTTGGTCTTCGGTGTTTAGTTTGAGTAATATATGTAATTTATAAATAAAGAGATTTAGAAATGTAAGTTCAGAAAGAATATAGATTGTTGACTTTTACATTTGAAAGTATATTTAAAAAGTTGTAATAAATTATCATTTTAAATTTTAACAATTTTTAATTTTATTCATAAACCACTCTTAATTATCACCCCCCACCCCTCAAATAATATTCAAGAATTTTGGTTTCTTTAAACAAACCGTTTGGTTGGTATAATCTAACGACACACAATACTGCTAACCCAACATACTGTTTAAAGGAACCGAACTCTACTAACCAAGTGAGTTCGGTTACTGTATAAACTGTGCATTCGGTCAGTCCATAGTCAACCTACCAGTTCAGTTGACGTAACCGTAGTTTTGTTTCTTATGGCCAAACTCTTTTTTCCGTGTAAGTGGACTCTAATGAACAGAAATCAAAAGATTAATTGGCAAGGATTGTAATGTTTGGATGTAAGTGATATTTATTTTGTGTGATAATATTAAATAACTTTAAATATCACGGGTATTAGGCGTAAAAACCCAATATC